TATTTTATTAATGGTTGATAATTAGAAAATAAAACAAGGATAAATACATTTTTTGAATTTTATATCTTAGATTTAAGATGAATAAATATATTAAGTTAATTGATAATTTATTTAAAATGTTAAAATTTAATTTATAAAAATAATATTTTAAAAGAGAAGGGTTATAATAACACCGATGTAACTTTTACTAAGTATTACACCGCTCAATAACTTTATATTAAATGTGAATTTTATAAATTCAACTGTTAGATTGAAAGTTTTTTACTTTTAGCTCATATATACAAAATTTAGTATTAATTCAAGATGATTTGATACTTCATATTCTTATATAACAAAATTGACGTAATATATACATTTCAAAATATATTAAAATATAAACACTTTGATTACTTTCAAGTTGTTGTTCAATTTTAACAAAATTTGATATAAATATATAAAGTGAGTATATATATGAATAAAGATTAGTTAAATATAATATAATTATTATAAATATTTTTATATTTTTATAACGGTCTGGACACACCGAAATGAGAGAGGTCCAAAGATAATATAAGTATGAGATTGTATAGTTGAGAATGACTTAAATGAATTAATTTATAGTACTTATACTAACAACATGCATCTACTTTTCGGTAGCTTATCTCATCAGAACTCCACAGTTAAGTGTGCTTGACTTGGAGTAATATAGGGATGGGTGACCTTATGAGAAGTTTCTCAAAAATTGTGCAGTAAGGACAAAACATGTTGAAAAGTAAATGTCATGAAATAACATCTTAGAGAGGTCAAATATGAGGGTTGTTATATTAATAAACTTATTAAAATTAAACAAAAGTTTTCCTATGGAAATATCCGTAGATAATTCCGTAGGTAAGTCTTTCAAATCTTATCAGTAGACATAATCTGTAGGTAACAACTTTCGTGCATAATCTGTAAATATGTCCTTATATAAGGTTATCTACGGATAAACTCTCCGTAGATAACATTATCTACGACCTTATTACCTATAAATTTTTGGATATACATAATTCGTAGATAATTAAGACTTATCTACAGATTTTCATGCTTATCTACGGATTTTTTCCGTAGATAATCCTGATTTTTCTTGTTGTGTTTTGTGGTTTCTCCTTGTATGATTAACCAAATAGAGTTCTGTTTGTTGGTTTTAAAACTAGACAATTGAGGTTACAATTTAGATTTAATAATTACATAAAAATGTTAAAAAAACGACCGAGTTATGTGAGTCACAAAATAAGCCTCGCATTTTGTGTGTAAAAGTTTATGTTTACAAATTGTAATCCTTTCAAAGACCCTTAGATGATTGAGTTAGGTTTGTGTCATTCATATTTGTTGTAGTTTTTTTATGTGAGCTTTCCAATGGTGCTGAAATCACTAAAAAAAAGAGGTCAAGAACTCAAGTTATGATCAAATTAGAGAGCAAAGGTCAAGTTGTCAATATTTTTATACTTAAATACTACAATTTTGTAATTTTTTAAAATAATAGATAGTAAAATCAACTGTTTAGATCAACATGAAACTTGTAGATAATTATATTAGCTTTCTAATAAAATTAATATCAACTTGATAACATAGATATAACTCTTGATATTGCAGTTAGATCACATAATGTCATAACAACTCAAGATAAGAAGAGATAACTTGTGAGTTGTTATTCTTGAAGTGTCTATATTTAATGAGTAACGATAATCTATAATATTATGATGTATGATGATGTTTGATGATGATGATGATGTTTGAGGTTTGATAATAGTTATGAATGTTATAATATGTGATGACTGAATGATGAGAATTTATAGTAATGATGATTTGTATATGAGATGATATTAATATATCCTTGTGAGTATAAACAATGAGTATGTATAAGTCTTGTTATATGAGTAATGATATAAACACATGATGTATTGAGTTACTATGAGTGATGCGATGAGACGTGGAAATTAAGTACAATGTTATAGACTGACAAATGAGGAAGTGAATTATTACATATTTGTAATGTCGTGATATGATTGTTGAGTTCATGCATTCATGTTTTATTCTCAAGATAGTGTAAGTTTCTACAAGTGTGATATTATAGGTCATCTACTTATGTCTCACAGGTATTATGGTGAGGAAACTTCTAACAAGAATGGGAGGCTACCATGGCCAAGTCTAACACTTCAATAGGACCTTGTTAGACATCTCCAAGTTAAGGGTGGTTTGGGGGATCACTATTGATAGTTGGTCCTATTTCATGGCTCCTAAGCTATTTTGTATTAATGATGATAAGAAGGAGATTTGGTACCACATGTATGTAGAGTTAAGGGAATGCATCTCCTTGAGCCATTATAACTATAATTATGAATGTTTAAATTACATAATTGTCGATGATGATTGAATGTGTTTTTGAGTGATGTCATTAAGTTGAATGTGAATATGAGGATAAATGTTTTGTATATGCCTATTTTTATGTTTTATATATATTGTACATGGATGAGATGCATTCTCACTCCTTGTGTATTTTTTTTATGTGTTTAAGTTGATCGTCATTTACAAACTTAAACCAAGTAGAAGATGAAGAGTTTATAATTTATTAGTCATAATTCAAGTTAATTTTTATATGATGATTTATGTCTTATGTTGCAAGTTGTGTAAAAAACCAATTTGTGTCTTATTTTAAACTTATGCAGTTGTGATATATATTCAAACTTATGCAATTATTTAATTACCTTTTTATTTAAGAAATTTTACTTCAAGAATTATGATCTATTTTACTATAAAGTGAAAAATGAATATTTTTATTACATCTTTTAAGATTTAATTTCATTTTATTGATAATATTTATTCAATTAAATTTGGAGTAGAAGGGAGTCACGTAAATAAAAAAAAATGTGGAGAAAATTAAGAAGTATATACAAAAAAAAAAATATTTTTTAATTAATTCTTTACTATTATAATAGATTATTCAACTTTCAAAACCAAATTTATTATATCTTTTAAGAGTTAATTTCATTTTATTAATAATATTTATTTAATTAAATTTGGAGTAGAAGGGAGTCACATAAATAAAATAAAAATGTGGGGAAAATTAAGAAGTAGAGAAATAAAAAGAATAGTTTTTTTTAATTAATTCTTTATTATTATAATAGATTTCAACTTTCAAAACCAAATATATACATTGTTTTTATATGTTCCAACAATTTTTAATCGATTATTACTCTATGTTAGTTTTTTTACACCACTCTCTATGGCAGTTCTTAAAGCTCTAGTATTTTTTTTTTTTTAAATTGCGGTGGTTTTTAATAAAAAAAAATGTAATTAGTGAAAATTTTAAACGGGAAGAGAAAAAAAAACGCCACAAAGTATGTGACAAAGTGCTTCTCCTCGCCATTTATGTGCACTTCAATTCAATGGCCTCTTTCATATCTTTGCAACAATACAATACCCAATTTTATTATACTTTTTTATCTATTTTTTTTTCTCTCTTCTTTATTTTCTATTACTTTCTTACATACTACTAAACATATCACAAAAAAAATTGAATGAAAACATTTCATATATGTTTTTAACTTAAATTTATTTTTAATCTCTATAATTTTATGATCATATAATTTTAGTATTCAAAATTTTTTATCACAAATTTAGTCTTTCTAAATTTTAAAATTTAGTGTTGAACCACTCATTAACATATCATCTAAAATTAAACAGAAAATATTAAAATACTCATAAATAACATGTTTAGTAATTTTTTAGTGACGTTAATTTTTATATAAAGAAAAATATTACTTTTTACTAAATATATATAAAGTTTTTTTTATTTCGATTAAAATTTATAATTCGGGAAATCAGGAAAGAAATTTTAGCTTGTAATCAGGGAAATCTGGAAACAAATCATTACTTGTAAATACTATATAAAGTTGTACATATCACCAGAATAAGATAGTTGAAGTTATTTTCACAAAAACTCCTTAATATCGTTTTCCACAGTATAGATATACGTTGTTTCGATTTCCCTTCAAACATCGAGCAATATACATCTCTTCATGAAACAACATGTTACTTCATCATTCTCTTCCCCAAGACCGGGGAACTTTCCTTCAAATATTAAACAACAGAAATGTTTGAGCACCCGAATACACCTTCTGAAATATCATTCGACCTTTAAAATGATAATAAAATATTATTTGATTTTAACTTTTTAGAATTTTTACTTCTTCCAAATTTACCCTTCACCCTTTCTTATATCAGATATTTTTTATACCTCTTTTTGTTCTTTCCCACTACAACAAAATTTAGTATTATCGACAATTATTTAATGACAATAAGTTAATTGCCTCTATTTTATTATTTGATAAAAATATTAATGACTATTATATAATGGCCACTAAAAATGTATTTACATCACATCAAAATGTACTATTAGCGATAATTATTTGTTAAAAAAAACTTAAGTCCCACATCGATTAGAAATAAAATAATTGAAGAGTATATAAGTGAATGATAACTCTCACCTTACAAGTATATTTTATAAGGTTGAGTTAGGCCTATAACTTACTATTCTAAGCTAGTATTTAGGAGATAAGATAATTAAAAAAATTAAAGAATATATACTTAGAAGATAACCTTCATCTTCTAAATCTCACATCAATTAGAAATAAGGTAATTAAAGAGTATTTATACTCATCTTACAAGTCCTACATCGACTAGAAATAAGATAATTAAAGAATATTATAAATCTTTTCTTAAACTTTTAGCGACAATTTTAAATGCCAGTAACAAATGACACAAAAAGTTATACATTTTTCCTGACCATTATGAGGGTTTTTACTAGCATATAGAATAATTGTCGCTAAATGTTTTAGCGACACTGCATACAATGACTAGTGTGTGAAATGCCGGTAAAAGATTTTGTAGCGATTTTTATTACCACTAAAAGTCATATTAAATGCCACTAAAAGTCTATTTTATTGTAGTGTCCGTCCACTACTTCATGCGAGAAACTTGCAGAGGAAGACTTTGACAAAAGATTCAAAAGTACAAAAAAAAATTGGAAGCTAAAGATTCATGCCATTTTACCGAGTCTTTAATGGCATCAAGTAAGTTTTCTACTTTTTACTCTTTCTTTTTTAATTTTTTTTTGTTAGATATTATTATTTACTTATCATTTTATTGGATCTTTATTGATGTCAAGTAAGTTCTTTGATGTTTACTTTTTTTTTTTTGGTTGTTAAGTTTTTCGTTTTATTTTTCTAAGATATTATTGTTTACTTTCTTTATATATTATTGTTTGCTATCTTGTTATGTTTTTCATGGTCAAGGTATGGAGATGGTGAATCCTGTAATTGTGGAAGAAAGTGAAGAATTTGAAAGATGTTCAACTAGCATTAGAGAAGAAATTCCAAAAGTTGGAATGATATTAAATTCTGAAGAGGAACTTTATGCTTTTTATAAGAAATATGCTTATGAAGTTGGATTTGGGATTCGAAAAATTAGCACAAAAACAAAGGGTGAAGTTACGTATTACTCACTTGCATGTTCCAAGGGAGGTAAATATGTATGTAAGACAAGTTCTTCTAAGTAAAGTTTGTCAAGCAAAATTGGTTGTCAAGAAATTTTTTTTGTGATCATTGCAAGTGGAAAATGTACCATTTCTTCAATTAATCTAGAGCATAGTCATGCTTTAAGTCCAAAAAAGTCACGATTTCAAATGTCTCATAAGAAGATGGATAGTTATTCAAAAAGAAGACTTGAGTTAAATGATTTTGCAGGAATTTCACCAAACAAAATTTTTTATTTATTGGTTATATAGGCTAAAGGGTATGAGAACCTACAATTTGGGGAAAAAGATTGTAGAAATTATATTGCAAAGGTGAGACAATTAAGGCTGGAGTTGGAGATGCTAAAGCACTTTGTAACTACTTCATTCGTATGCAAAAAAAAAATTCAAATTTTTTCTATGTCATTGATATGGACGATGAAGGTCATTTACGAAATGTTTTTTGGGTGGATGCAATATCTAGAGAAGCTTATGACTCATTTGGGGATGTTGTATCATTTGATAGTACATATTTGACTAATAGATACAATATGCCTTTTTCCCCTTTTGTTGGAGTGAACCACCATGGACAATCAATCTTGTTTGGGTGTGGTTTACTATCGAGGGAAGACATAGATACATACGTATGGTTGTTTAAATCATGGTTGGAATGCATGCGTGGACGAACTCCAAAAGCAATAATTACATATCAATGTCGATCTATTCAAGCAGCAGTGGCAGAAGTATTTCCTCAATCTCATCATCGTTTTTGCCTTTGGCATATTATGAAGAAGGTACCTGAGAAATTAGGTGGGTTGGCTCAATACAAAGAAAAAAAGAAAACCTTAAAAGCCATTTTGTATGATTTTGTGGAGTTAAATGACTTTATTGTTGGTTGGCAAAGAATGATTGACGATTTTGGTCTTCAAGAAAATGAATGGTTAAGCTCCTTATTTTTTGATCGTGGTCGTTGGGTGCCAGTATATGTTAAATCAATATTTTGGGCAGGAATGTCTACAACTCAAAGAAGTGAAAGTATGAATGCATTTTTTGATGGATATGTTAACTCAAAAACCTCACTCGCACAATTTGTTGAGCAATATGATAGTGCATAAAAAGCAAGGTGGAAAAGGAAAATAAAGATGATTTTGATTCACTTAATTCATCTTTTCAATTGATGAAAAGTTGCTACTTTGAAAAACAACTTCAAGAGGCTTATACCAATGCAATTTTTAAGTTGTTTCAAGATGAATTGCGCGGTATGCTTTTTTGCAATCTCACATTGTTAAGAGTTAATGGTCCAATATATATATTTAGTGTCATTGATATTAAAGAAGTGAAGGACGGATACCACAGAAAAAGATTTGCATACATAGTGCAATATAATGATGTGGAGTGTGATCTTCAATGTTCTTGTCATTTGTTTGAATTTAGGGGAATACTTTGTAGGCATATAACAGAGATCTTAATTGAAAAAAAATGTGAAAGAAATCCCTTCTCGTTACATTCTAACTCGGTGGAGAAAAGATGTAAAGCATAGCCATTATTATGTGCTAATTTGTTATGATGAGATAAGTGATCAAGGTGTGGAATTTGATAAGTTGTGTGCCAACTTTTATGAAGCTGGACATTTAGCCAATTCAAGAAGAAAGTATGATTTTTTGATGGAATGGATAGATAAATCAAAGGAAAAGCTTAAGGATGATATGGGTTGGGATAGAAGTAAACAAATTACTCTACCAAGTATTGATCATGTAATAAAATCAAATGAAAAACTATTATCTCCTTTACAAGTGCGTAGCAAAGGTCGTCCACCATCCAAGAGAAAGGAATCCAAAATGGAGAAAATAATAAAGAAAAAAAAGAAGAAAGAGGTAAATATTAAATATGTTTTTTTATGAGATATTTCAATACGATAATTTATTTATATCATATAAAATTATAGTTCCAAGGAGCAAAAAAAGACATTGGACAAGATCACACAAGTCTACCATAT